TTCCAGTAAAATCAATCATTGTTTAATTGCACAAAGGGAGCTCTTTCTTTAAAGGCGTCATGACCGGTGATAATGGTAGCTCTACTTATTGGTTCCATATGTCTACCCACCAGACACGGCGGAGCACTTTGCCCACCTTGCCACAGCCCTCTGAGGGACCCAGCTCAGCTGGGATCTGAACTCCCATCTGTCTGACCCAAGTCCCGCGCCTTTAACCACACTGCACTGCCTCCTGAGGTATAAATAGCATCAGCAATCTTTTACATTTGCAGAGTGCTTTGTGATTAACAAGGAGGTTTGTATTCGTTACTGTCTGTTACCTCCTTCAGTCCTCGCAGCAGCCTCCGTGAGGTCGTTCCCATTTCACAGATGGGGAAATGGGTTCATCAAGGTGTGTTGCCTTGGGTGCCATCCACAGCAGTGAGTGGCTGAGTCAGGCTTGGGACCCAGTTCTCCCAACTCTAGATCCTGTTGCTCTCTTCCTTGGTGGACTCGGATCTGCGGTTGCCATGGAGGAGGGCAAAAGCCTAGCCCCCTTTATCGTCTGCCGTTCTCCCTCTGCTGTTTAATTTCCCTCCCCGACACGTGTCCCTTGTGTGCTGTGTCTCCCACTCTGCCCTCCCCGACTCCGTTCCGTGTGGCTGGGCTCCGTGCTCTTCCTTTGCTCGGTGTGGGCGTCCCACACGGTGGCCGCGCTTCTTATGGCCTCGCCGGCTTCATTTCTCCACGCAGACGTCTGCTCATCGGGGAGGTCTTCCCTGCCCAGCCTGTGTCAAAGAGCAACCCCTGGCCCTCTCCGTCTCTCTTCCTTTAATGTATTTCTCTTTTTATCACGCACCGCCACCTGGCCTATTTTGTATTTACTTGCTTTTTGAAAATCTGCCTTCCCCTCTTGAATGTAAGCTCCATGAGGGCAGGGATTTCGTCTCTTTTGTTTATTTACTGTAATCCACCCCTTGGCTCACATTTAATGGATGTCCAAAAACCAGACCCTGTGTGTAGGAAGGCTATGGCAGGTCATGGCCGTCCCTGAGCTGCATCCCTGGAGTCCTCCTCGCTCCAGGATGAGCCCAGGAAATTTTGCAGGGGGTAAATGCTGCTGCTAGGTCCATCTGCACCCGTTGTGTTCATCTGGCATGACCTCCTTCCCTCCCTTTCCCCCCTCCCATTGATGCTTTATAAATGTATTAGTGGCTGAATGATGTCACCGTAATGCATTTTGGGAATAGCCATGTGGTTTATACACACTTGAGTTGCTTTGAATGCAAACCTGACATCATACTGAAGGCAGCAGCGAACAACATATGCACAGTAAACAGGCAGAGACTGTCTTATTGATTAACAGATGAGGCCTCTATTATCGATCAAAGCTTGGCGAGGAAATTTATCACTTTTAATTTCAGGGCTGCCAAATATTTCTGCCTCTGAGCCAGCCATTACAGAGACAATTTAAAGGCACAAGGCTCCTCGGGAGGGAGGATTTCGTCTGTCTCACTCTGCTCGGCTGGTGTGTCCATGGAGCAGCCCTGTCTTTGCTCCCTGGCTCACCCTGGGGAGGTGGGGGTAGGGGTGTCAGAGCCTGTCTGGGTGGTGACGGGAGGGGGACAGGGGCCTTGTGAGTGGGGACGAGCCGCGGAGCCGGTGTCAGTGGTGTCCATGTGTGACAAGGAGCCTGACCCAGACTCACTGAGGACAGGGGCCCTTCACACACTCAGCGCCGTGACTTCCGCAAGGTGGGGCTTTGAAGGCAAGCGGCTGTGGTCAGGCCTGGGCCGCGCCAGCAGCCCCGCTCGGTCACGTGTGCTCCTGTTTTATCTTCATCTGCACTCATCTGATGGCACGCATCCGGCCTTGCTTCCCTGCCTGCCCTCCTTCCTTTCTCTCTGCTTCTCGGTCCTTAAAGCGAGAAGGTGCTGCAGCCCACGGGGGTGGGGGGTGGGGGGTGGCTTTTTCTAAGAACCCGCCGCACCACATCCCTTGCTAGCTGGCTGGCCGGGGGCTCTGGCGTGGTGGCCAGCCACAGAGCACCTCCCGGCCTGGGCGACCCTCCCCGGGCCCCTGCTCGCCCGTTCTCCACTAGGGAGCCATGAGAATGGACAGAACCAAAAGGAAGAGATGCCATTAAAATCAGATCCCTTACAGAGCCACAGAAAATCATCGATGGCGAATGATTTTGATGGGACGTGGGGGGGAGTTTATGGTTGTCGGGGAGCCGTGGCTTTGCCCCGCCGGCCTCTCTGTTGGGGTCCCTTCTGCTCTTTGAGGTTCTTTCTGCATGCCCAGTGTAAATGGGTGAGAAGTGGTCCTGGCCGCCACCTCTGTGAACACACATCGTGACTGCTTTGCTGTCATCCCTGATAGAAATTTTCTTGGCTCTTTCTTCAAAGCTCTGTAAGCCACGCGCCAGGTGCTTGGCGTGAGGACGCCCTGCAGCTGGAAGGGACACCCAGAGGTCATCATGGCATTCTCCCTGCCACCAGGAGAGATGCCACCCCAGCCACCTGAGATAAATGACTGTGTTTACTTTTGAAGTGACTTCATATCTTCCCTGGGGTGCTTTGCCACTCATTTATTCAGTCAGCTCATACTTACTGAGCACTTGCTAGAATATGTCCTCCGTGTCAGGAGGAATGCAGGTGTCAGTGGCGTGGACCAGGTCAGCGCCCCCCTGGGGCCGCACAGTCTAGACCTACGCCAGGCTCCTCATACTCTCCACTGGCAAGAACTGTTCATGTGTGTTCAAGTCTGTGCTGGTACAGCTTGTATTTTGAGTTGCTTTTCAAACTTTCAAAAAGTAACAGAACCATTTTTCCAAATAGGATTTCACACGAAACCCTGGCATGTAAAATGGGAAAACTGGATTTTCGTTTTTTTGAGTTGAGAGAAGGGAACCCAGACCCCACCGTGGGGTCTTACCCATGAAGCATCTTTGCAGATGGAACGCTGGGGAGGCTGAAGGGTACAGGGATTAAGAGTGAAGGTTCTGAAGTCAGGCTGTCTGGGTTTGAATCCACCTCTGCTACTACCCACTGGTAACATTGGGCAAAACACTTAACCTCTCTGAGCTTGAGTTTACTCATCTGCTAAATGGGGGTAATAGTGTATATGACAATTGGCTGCTGTTAGGATGAATGCTACGATATATATATTAAGCACTTAGCATCATGCCTGGTATATAGTAAAACCTCAGGAAATCTGAGGTGCTTTGAAAATGGCACTGTGGGCTGCCTGTATGTGTGAGAAGCAGTTCTGGCTTTTACAAGCCTCTAATGCAAAACCAAAACACAGGCATACTTAAAGAAGTGCTAAGACATGTTGAAAAGAACAAAATGCAGTGGTGGATTGTAGAGAGCAGAACAACAAGGGGCTGGAGGGCTCAGTGTCCTTGAACTCCAGTCTTGAGAATGGAATGGGGTTGGAAGAGATGGAAGAGCAGATCTGGGCAGTGCTCAAGCACAGAGGCTCAGGGCGGGTGGAGCAATGGTGGAGAGGGGCAGAGAGGACAGCCTGCTATGGAGTTGGGCAGCTCACGGGGACAGGTTATGGAAGGCCTTGAAGCCAAGTGGAGGGACTTCTAGAATCAGTAGGAATTGTCAGCCGTTGCATCTTCTTGAATCAGGAAGTGTGAGCAATCAAGTGGCCTTCAAGGAACCTGCGTCTGTTGGGTGGATCAGAGGGTGGCTGGTGGTGTGGACGCCATCCCCGAGCCTCCCAGGGTTCTGGGTGTGGTGCAACAAGGGCCTGGACGGCGCAGTGATTATCCCAGTGCAGTGAAAGAGATGCATCTAGGAGACACCTTGAAGGGAAAATGCCAGGGCTTGGGACAGATGACCCCCTGGACCAGATAACATAGTAGAGCCTCGAAGATTATTAGCCAGGGATAAAAAGGACTGTTTCATCTTGACATGGTGCCATTGTCACTTTGAGCCTTATAAATAATGGTTCTAAAAACATTTATTGAATTGAGTTGCACTGAATGAATTCTGTTTATTCCACAGATATGGGTAGTAACAGGCTCCCACCGTGTGTCGGACAGATGCAGCTGTGTGCGAGAGAACGTGGTCCCTCCGTCAGGGAGCTCACCGTGTGGTGGGAGAGAGAGACGGGTCCATGGGCATTTAGACCGGAGCATGGCCAGGGCCAAGAGCTGGAACATACAAGATGCTGTGGGAGCGTAAAGAAGGGTCACCTCCCCCAGCCTCGGGGCGTGGGTATCATAGCTGACGCATAATTGATGACTAGGAGCCCCAGCTCTCCCACAGTGGCCAGGGGAGCAGAGGAGGAATGTCAGAGGCAGAGGATGTGCAGAGACCTGGCAGTGAGGGAGAACACGGGTCCCCTGGGGAGCCCGCGGAGTTCAGTGTGGCTGGGGAGAAGGGAGCAGGGGTGAGGTGTGAGGGATGAAGCAGAAAGGATGAGCACGCCAAGACGTGCTTTGTGAGTCCTGGTAAGGAGTTGGGACTTCCTTCTCAAGGCGCTGGAGAGCCATTCGGGGTTTTAAGTGGTCAGCTGCAGGCAGCAGGTGGGGTAGACAATGAGTTTAGTCTGGGACATATGGAGTTGGAGGTCCCTGTGGATAGCCAGGTAGAGCTAAGTCAGCAATTCCTGCTTTCTTCTAAAGTACCATTTGGGCAGCAGGGCACGTTTCCCTGGTGGTGTCGTTCCCTCCTATCCATCCCTTCCTGGAGCTAGCCTTTCCGACCCTCCTTCTCAGGATGTCTCACCTGTCCCCCATCTCTGTTTATCTTGGTCATTCTGATTGTGTTCCTTCTCTCTGGGAGCTCCCTGGACGAGGGCATTTGGAACTCAGTCAGGTGTGTGGTCACCTCTTGGAGGAGGGTCTGAGCTGACCTCTGGGGCCATGGATTAGCCCTCACTCAGGATCTTCCCAGGTGTCCAGCCCCCTGCCGAGTGTCCCCCTGTGCAATTCTGGCCCAGTGCTCCCACCCCCACCCCAGTGAACCATCGCCCTAGTGGTAACTGCCTCTCCTTTCTTTTAGCGGGCGCCAAAGCCTTCGTCTGCGATCAGTGTGGTGCCCAGTTTTCGAAGGAGGATGCCCTGGAGACACACAGGCAGACCCATACAGGTGAGCTGGCCTCCGCGCTCCTTCTCCAGGTTTGACACAGTGTGATTGCACGGGGATGTGAACTCGCTGGGCGGCGACCTCTTTTTAGCAAACATGATACCTGGTCATTTCCTGGGGCAGCCATCGGTGGGGATGGGGTTCTGCCACATTTGGCTACTCCTGCCTGTGGGGTGGCTGGGAAGGAGTTTACAAGTATGACATCATCCCATAAGAACAGTTGTCCTGGCCACGTGCTGTGGCTCACGCCTGTAATCCTAGCACTCGGGGAGGCCGAGGCAGGCGAATCACTCAAGGTCAGGAGTTCGAGACCAGCCTGAGCAAGAGTGAGACCCCATCTCTACTAAAAATAGAAAGAAATTAATTGGCCACCTAAAAATATATAGAAAAAATTAGCCGGGCATGGTGGCACATGCCTGTAGTCCCAGCTACTTGGGAGGCTGAGGCAGAAGGATTGCTTGAACCCAGGAGTTGGAGGTTGCTGTGAGCTAGGCTGATGCCATGGCACTCACTCTAGCCTGGGCAACAGAGCGAGACTCTGTCTCAAAAAAAAGAAAAAAAAAAAAAAAGAAAGAAAAGAATAGTTCTCCTGGATAAGGCCAAGATCTCTGTCTCTAACAAGATGCTGAGATCCCATCTGCACAGAGGCGTTGAGTATTGAGGCCTTAGGACGTGTGTGATGTTATCTAAGCATCCCCTTCCCTTGGTCAGGAAACCTCTCCCACCTCATCTGATGAAACCCTCATGGGGCCAGAATGGTCCAGGCCTCCCTCTGCAAGAGCTGAGGCACTGTCTAAAAGAAGTCAGTCTGTGCACAAGGGTGCATTTGAACAATATTAATTAACAACCTTATAGCTTTATTTGACTTCAGAGTGTTGGTTTCACAGCACCAGGTCATCATCAGCACCACAGCCCACACTTCCTGAGCGCCCCCCACGTGCGGGACACTGTTTTCGGTGCTTTACCTGATCCTACTTGGCCAGTCTTACAGTAATCTTGTGAGGTAGGAAGATACCACCATGGATGAGGAAACTGAGGCTTGAAGGAGGGAAGGTGACTTGCCAGAGTCAATAGAGGGGACAGGTGTGGTAGAGCCTTGTAGTTTCAGAGCTTAGACTGCCTGGGTTAACCCTGACTCTGCCGCTTCCCATTTGTAGGACCGTAGATAAATTATTTAAACTCTCTTAGTTTAGGGTTCTCATCTGTTAGAAAAGTAGAGTAGGATAATAGGATCTACATCATCACATAGGGTTGTTGTGGGAATTCAATAAGGTATTTTAATTGAAGTGCTTCTTCGTGGAGTATTTGACTCATAGTAAGCATTCAAGAAATAGTTGTGGGTATATTTAATTTATTAGATATTTACTGGGTTCCTACAGTGTGCCCGGCACTGTCTGGGCATTTAAGATGTAGTGATGTATGAGACAGACAACATTCCTGCCCCTCCTCGTGGAACTGAGATTCTAACTGGGAAACAATAGTGGCAAATAAGTGTATGATACAATGACAAGTTATACATAATATTAACAAGTGCCACTAAGAAAAAATAAAGCAGGATAAGGGACAGAGAACGATAGGGAGAGAAGTGATGTTGTGGTCAAACGGTCAGACCTGTTTGACAAGGTGATATCCAAGCAGAGTCTTAAAGCAAGGGAGATTACTAGGAAGACTGTCTAAGCAGAGGGAATAAGCACTTGCAAGAGCCCCGAGGCCAAGTCTAGCCTGACACGGTTAAGGACCAGCATGCATAGCAGTGTGGCCCGAGAGGCCAGTGACGTGCAGAGGGAGGGCAGGGGGATGAGGGCAGGATGAGGTGGATCTCTCAGCCCTAGAGAGGCATCTGGATTTTATTCTGCAAGTGCTAAGAGTCCTTTGGAGAGAGAGAAAATATTTGCAAATCATATGTCTGATAAGGAACTTACTGCTAGAAAAAAAAATCTTATAATTTTAATCTTACAATTTTAATTGTAAAAAATCTTACAATTTTAATCTTACAATTAAAAATAATAATAATAATCAAAGAATGAGCAAAGGATCTAAACAGACCTGTTTCCAAAGATAGGCAACTAGCCAATGAGCACATGTAAAGATACTCAACACCATTAGCCTTCAGGGAGATGCAGATCAAAACCACAATGAGATACTACACACCACTAAAATGTGGTTACAATAAAAAATACAGATAGTAACAAGTGTTATCAAGGATGTGGAAGAATCAGAACCCTCATACTCTACTGGTGGGAATGACAAGTGGTGCAGCCGCTTTGGAAAACAGGCTGGCAGTTCCTCAGAAGGTTAAACACGGAGTTATATGTGACACAGCAGTTTCTCTCCTAGGTGTAGACCCAAGAGAATTGAAAACGTGTCCACACGAAAACCTGTACATGAATGTTTATGGCAGAATTATTCATACTAGCTAAAAAATGGATCTAAGGATACCCTAATCATGAAGGAAAAAAAAAGAAAAAAAAATTTAAAAAAATAAAAAAAAAATAAAAAATGGAAACAACCCAATGTCCATCCACTGATAAATGGATAAACAAAATGTGGTGTATCAATACTGTGGAGTATTACGTGGCCATAAAAAGGAATAAAGTACTGATACACACTATAACATAGATAAATCTTAACATGCTCAGTGAAAGAAACCAGACACGAAAGGCCACATATTGTATAATTCTGTTCATTTGAAATGTCCAGAGCAGGAAGAAAGACAGGAAGTAAATTAGTAGGTGCTGGGGGCTGGGGAAGTTGGGGAGAGATGGAAAGTGACTGCTAATAGATATGGGGTTTCTTTGTGGAGTGATGAGAATGTTCTAAAATTGATTGTGGTGATGGTCACACAGCTCTGAATACAGATGTTCCTAGACTTATGGTGGGGTTATGTCCTGATAAACCCATCACAGGTTGAAAATACCATTAAGTGGAAAATGCGTTTAATACAGCTAACCTACTGAACATCAGAGCTTAGCCTAGCCTAAACATACTCAGAACGTTTACATTAGCCTAGAGTTAATCATCTAATACAAAGCCTGTTTTATAGTAAAGTGTTGAAATCTCATGTAATTTATTCAATATTATACATAACATTGAAATTGCAAGTCTCTCACCTTCGTAAACTTGAAAAATTAAGTTGAACTTAATCGTAAGTTGGAGACTGTATATTAAAATCCATAGAACTGTACGCTTTAAAAGGCACGAATTGTGTATTGTATGGTATGTACATTGCATCTCAATAAAGCTGTGTGCACTTGTGTGTGTGTGTGTGTGTGTGTGTGTGTGTGTATAAATGAGCTATGCCATGTATCAGGGAGAGTCACTGGTATCAGAGGTGCCACCTCTTATATATATATATATATCTACACACACAGACACACACACACAAAGTCATTCATGCATCACATAATAATGTTTTGGTCAGTAATGGACTACATATGTGGTGGTGACCCCATAAGATTATAATGCCAGATTTGTACTGTACCTTTTCTACATTAAGATATGTTTAGATACACAAATACCATTGTGTCACATTGCCTTCGGTGTTCAGCACAGTAACATGTGGGGCAGGTGTGTAGTCTAGGCGCAATAGGCTATACCATGTAGTCCAGGCGTGCAGTAGGCTGTACCACCGAGGTTTGTGTAAGGACATTCTGTGCTGTGGCCTGGAGAAGCTCCCCACTAGGAGTGGAGGGCCAGGACTTGGCCCACCTCCAACACGAGTGCTCTTTCCACTGTTCCCAGGCTGCCTGCACATGGAGCGTGTCCATGGGTGCATGGACTGAACAGTTCAGGGTGAGCCTGTTTAGAAATCATTCAGCTCATGGCCTGGCCCTGTCCTGGGCAAAGCCCTTTTGCATCCCTGTGACCAGTTTAACAAAACAAAATCACCTAATGATGCATTTCTCAGAACATATCCCTATGGCTAAATGACACATGACTGTATACACACAGATGCACGCATGTGCACACATAGCTTTACTAAGATATAATATACATATTTATTTATATATACATATCTACACACACACACACACATTTATACAGAAGGGGAAAGTGTAGCCCATTGGAGGGTTTTGAGTGGGGAAAATGACATTAAATGATTTAAGTGTTTAAAAGATTACTCTGGCTCCTGTGTTGAGAATTGACCATGGGGAGTTTCAGCTGTCAGTTGCCACGTAACAACCCACTCCAACAGTAGCTTAAAACAGCAAAGTCTTATTTTCTCTGACAGTCCTGTGGGTTGACTGGGCTCAGCTGGGCGGTTTTCACTTGGGATCTCTCATGTGGTGGTCATCGAGTAGTGGCTGGGGCTGGTATCATCTGAAGACTCGGCTGGGCTAGATGTCCAAGGGTGGCTTCTTCATTCCAATATCTGACTCTCAGCCTGTCTCTACAGCAGAACAGCCTGGACTTGATACATGACATCTCAGGGCTTCAAGAGTCAGGAAGAAGAAACTGCCAGCCCTCTGAAAAGCTAGGCTGGAAACACACAGCATTACTTCCACCATGTTTTATTGCTCACATAGTCACAGGTCAGCCACAGATTGAAGGTAGTGGAAGGCTGGACTCCCTTTCTCAGTGGGGGAAGTGACAAAAACCTAGAGGGAAAGAGGAATTGATGGCAGCCATCTTTGGAGACAACTACCACTGGAGGCTGGTGTGGACGAAGGAAGACCAGTCAGCTGCTGTTATAATTATTGTCATCAGTATTTATAAGTTCTTGTCCTTCCTCTCAAAAGCTACCTCTCCTCAGCAGAAAACATGCTTCCTAACGCTGGTATCAGGGGCTTTGGCCTGGTGCTGCCCTGTTCTTCCGTAATGGGAAGAGAGCTTTATAGGTGAGCTGTCATTGCAGTCAACATCTCCCCTGCTCAGTTATAGAGAAGGTGACTTGGCTAGGCTATTTTCCCCCAGTTGGAGATTTTGTTGCCATGAAAGCCAGGGGAGGACCAGGTTTCTCGGGGTCCCAGCCATTTTCTTATTGCCAGGCCACATGTAACTGA